TCTCAATTGAATACACCTCTAATATTTTTGTAGCCCCTCATCCAAACAAGTAGATAGGCACAAAGTAAACATTTTGATTAGACTAGTGAGTCTCCTTTTGGATGAAAGTTGGACTCTTCATAATTTAGATCCAATAAAGTTATCTCTTTTCGTTAGACATTAAAATGATAAACACACATCCTTTTTCACACCCTTGTTTAATATTATTTGTTGTTTTCGATGGTCAAAAACAAAGATCGATGTGTGAGAAGTTAAAATACATGGGTGCAAATCATTAAAAAGCAAAACAATGATCTCTCTTCGGTGGCCCCTAAGTAGATTTGCATAAGTAAGTGGTGAATTGCCATATAACATTATTCTTCAATTCACTGCGTTCCGAGTTCAAACATCATCCCCTTACTATAAATTAAAATAGATTTACAAAAATTGTAAATAATTAAATGCAAAAACGAAAGAAGGATGCCTTGAAGTCAGTGCCGGCCGGATTGAGGATGATGGCAGGCGTTATGGCCTTCTTTTAAACAAAAACAATCACAAGGATTAGCAGGAGCACCGCAAGTACATACAGATTACATACATACATATCCTATGTATATTCTCACAGTCACACACTGACTGCAACAGAAAACCTAGCAGTAGCAGCTATATATACGTAGCGGTAGCAGACGCGGATGTGTTCTGGACCACCGTCGTAGCTAAACGGCAATCCGCATGCGGCCTGGCCACAACCCTACGCTCCACCTAGCCCTGCTCACCCTATATCTATATACAATATATAATAATCAAATATTATATATATATATATATGTATGTATGTATGTATATATGAGGAGGAAGAAATGATAAACCCTAGCTGCATTTGTTCCACTTGATGATCTCATAAATTCTACTAGGGTTTTTTTTTCCATCTACGTAGCTAGATATAGAAAAGCGGAGGGATATGGATATGGAGATGGAGATGGACTACGTGCACACGGCAGAGAGCTACAACTCGATATCATGCCCATTTCGTGTCCCCTAATTAACGATGTGATCACTATTCTGCTCGACCGCTTTATGTGCTTCAACGGCCGAGCGGGTTAGGTAAGTTTTCAAAAGCAGGTGTTCACCTCTTTACACTCAAGTTTGAGTCTTTTTCTTGTGTAAAGCAATATATTTTAGACTGTCGTTGTATCAATAGAAATCTTGAAAAATAAGTTCCGCACACACTTTTCAGTCTCTTTTTACATACCCTTGTTACGTTTAAATTATCCTTTAATTGATTCAATCTGAAAATAAAAAAACTCATGAGCCTATAACGTTTCCCTTACTATTTATTTTTCTCTTGTGTATGTAGGGATCCATATTTAAAATTTTACTAATAGGGAGACTACTAGTACAGTAGTTCATACATATATATATACCCCACATACATCACTGGTTACTATTAAACACGCATCTCTCTCTCTCTCTTGCCACGAGCCCTAATTGACTCGTGATGATCTGATAATTCCGAGCACAAAGCCAGAAAATAAGGGTGATTGATTGCATACATAGTAGTAGTGCAGTTGTAAGTCAGAAAGTCAAGTGGGAAAGACACCCGGAGAATTTAAATGACAAAGTAATTAGCAGTACGTATAAGTCCTTGATCAAACCCTTCATTCAACTTAGGTGGGTCAACACAGAGAAATTTTTAGTTGTAACGGGAACACGGATGATATATCACATGTTTTTATGCAAGTGGAGGAAAATTTTAATTTTTAAGTTATTAACATTTTAACACACATAACCCATCATTTATATAAGGACACGTGGTGTACCACCTCTTGTGACGGTCACACTGAAAAATCTCTCGTCAAAACAAATACTGTTTATTCGTTCCATCTTGATGTGTCAATGTTTTCAAATTTCAAATACAATTAATTTCAGTGATCTCGATATCAGTTTGGTGGCTAATTAAGTTTCCTCTAATCAGTCTGAGCGTTAGAAGGGCAGGCTGTTGTAACAGTATGACAACTTAGCCCTCGTTCAAATGAATTGTTTTGCATAAATATGAACTTAGCTAAGTTGATTAGAACTACGTGCTTATCTTGTGCACCTAAGTTGAAATCATCATTTCTCTATATCTAAGATAAATTTAATGTACAATACGGTTTAATCAAAGACAAAGATTGAAAACCGTTATTATTCCTCTACGACTAGTGACGCTATCTAGCATTACCCCAAGACAATAAGGTTCTCACCTTGCGAGGGTCTCGGAGGAAACGTCTATCGTATGCAGCCTTACTTCTACTTTGCAAAATGTTGTTTTCAAAACTCAAAATCGTAACCTTTCAGTCACAAAAGAACAATATTTTCGTTGCACTAAAGTTTGCTAGCGTTTTATAAATTTAGAAATTAAAAATCTAGACGTACGAGATTTGGGAAGTCAAATGATAGATATATATAGTCTGGCTGCCTATGTCTCGACTCCGTGTTAACAATCTGATCAATCAAAAACCCTTTTTCCTTCCACGGTTGTTTGACCGTGATCATTTGAATATATATATATATATCTATCTGTGTGTGTGTGTATACTTATATACGTATATATGGCCTTAGATTTGACATTTTAGGTTATACATGAAAGAACCTTTCTTTTTCCACATTTTGCTGAGCCAAACAAAGACCAGTCAAATACTAAACGGGAGGGTCAAAAACTAGGGTTCATCTTTTTTCCTGATGCATAAAGTGAGACACTGCTACGTTAACCTAGTTCTAGGGTTTACAGAGATCTAACCTTAAAGATTATAGGTTAAAAGTACAATAACTACTATCTAAGCGTTAAGATCTCGAAATATCCACCGTATAATTATCTATATTCTTATATATAAGCAATATTCATTCCAGAACTCATCTAAATTGCGGGTGAGAATCTTATGAAGAAGCACATCTTCTTTAACCAATACACCCATGCCCACATCCAGAAGTGGATGGAAATAGGGAGCAAGGTAGTCCTAGGATCAAGTCTAGAAAATATACATATGAAGGTCTTCTAATGACCTTCCGAATGTTTGGTATGGTTTTATTTTGTACCTACTAAATATTCGATGTAATGCATGCATGCTAAGTATATCTCGACATGTTGCGTCAACAACACTCTACAAATTCTTTCAATATCACTTATCAGATTGATTCGACATATGCTGATATCTATTGACAAGTGCACAACAAGCCATCCAAGTGAATAAACTTATTTTTCTTTTCGTGCACAGTTCCTATCAAAAAAACTTGTATTTAACATTGAGACCCCTCAAGATTCAAATTTTGAATCCGACATTGTCCACACATTTACCTAGTACTTCCCCCTTCAATAATTAAGAATATTTGTTATTTTTATTATGACATCCAAACGCTACCAGTTATATATGCATGTTTACCTCCTTAATTAGCTTTTTTTTTTAAATAAATACCCAAACACGAAAGAAAATCATAAATAAATGAATAAATAAACACGCATACATAAGAAATTGATCATCATCATCAAGTGTACGTAAATATAACAAGGCTATAATGTTTTAAATCGGACGGTGGAGGATGAGGTTGCACACGTTAGGGTCAGAAAAACTATACAAAACAAGGGAAGTTTTGGGGTAAGCTTTATGTTCCCTTCGTGCTTACCAAATGTAGCAGTCTATGGAAGCGTCATTAAAGATCCTATTGAATCATGCATGGAATTTTGTACCTCAGCCTATATCCCCACTATATAGCTATACACATACATATATAAATAATCGAGATCCTCTCTGAATTTTCAAGTTCGAAGCCTCCGTACCCAAAAATTTGGGCCGTTCAAAGGTATATAGAGAGATTCAAACCCTTGATTTGTGTGATGTACGTAGGTCAATAGAATCAATAAATTAGGATTGTAGGATTTTAAATGAGTGGTCCGGATCTCTTGATCGCCAGCTCCGAACACAGAGAATAAAAAAGGATCTCAAATATTTGTAAATAAACACATCACATGCACACACTTTCAGAGTCCGCATTAAACATTAAGAGCTAATGCCCAGCAAGCTGGCTGGATATATAGGTCTTTTCCATGCATGTCACATCGATCCACGCTTGTCAATTTCAAGTGCCCAAATTATGCAGTTTTGCAGGCAAGTTGTTGGCGTTAATGCCTTTGTATTATCCTTATACGTAGCTAACTAATTAAAGGGTTTGTGCTCATCATACAGATACAGTTCTACACACAGAAACACACAGAAGAGAGACAGATATAGAGTTTATCTTTCTGGAATAGGGAAATGCCTACCCTGCCATTTGTCAATGCATGAGCATTTTGAAAGCCTTTCGAAGGAGGAGAATAACGTACATAGAACGAGTTCACTGCTATCGTAACGTCACGATCCAATAATACAATAACATATGGAAATTTCTTTTCACATAGTGTTGTATTAGTGAACCGAAACAACACTGTGGCAGTAAATCTGTTCAATGTAAGATTTTATCTAAAAATAGATGTAGAATACAAAACTTACCTACAATTTCCGGGACGCCACCATGACATCTCAAACTAATAACAAAACGTCATGTGTAACTTTTAACACCGCATGATTAATTCGAAACACTAGAGTTTAATATGAGTCATTTTTCTAGACCTAGACCTTCCATGTCCTTCCATCCTTTCTCTCTCCCTTTCTTTTTGTTTTACAGAAGATGAGGAATTTGGTAGGACCAAAAAGATCAAAACACGAAAGCATTTAAACTCAGAATATTGTTTGGGTAACCACACACGAAACCTAGTAATTCATCCGGCAAGGGAACGGATAAACTGGAAAAGCGGCTTCGAGTTCACCGCCACTCAGAAAACCCAGATTTGATAACACTACTCATATCTAATCACTAATCTAATTAAGATTTAATTCCAAATAACACATAACATTATCATAAACAAACAATTTATATGCAATGCGCACATATCCAAATGCATGCTGCACAAAACCACACACAAAAACCCACGATAAACAAATGTTTAATTTAGATTAATTCTAAATTAATTTAGATTATTAACGAGTCACCATCATCATCATTGATAAGAGTTATCTTCATCAAATAAATAACCACGAAAAATCAGAATTGAAATTCGAACAAAAACCAAACATCCCTGTCCATCCAAATATATATCGTCTTCGTCATTCATGAGTCGACATCTCGATCCAATTCTCCAGCCCTAGCTAGCCAGGTCTTCTACTTTGAGTGCATGAGATTAAATTAAGAAATTTAAAACCATGATAATCAGAAAAATAAACATCATCAGCTAGACTAATTAAGCTAGTAGCTAGCTGACAATAAGAGATTTTGGTTAAAAGCAAACAAGCAAATACTGCCATTTTTTTGTTTTCGGTTTTTAAGACCTCGGAGGCGGAAAGTATTGCGTACCAGCCATGAAAGCATTGAGTGGAGCTGGGAAGAGAGAAGGGTCAAGCAACGTAGTAGACGGATTGCCAGAGGTCCCGCCGGCAGCTGCGACCGTTACAAGATCATGTTGCTGATGATGTGGATGACCTCCTCCTCCTCCGCTTCCTCCTCCGTCTTGGTGGTGATCATGACTAGTACCTCGACCGCCCGAGGAGCTCTCACCTCCTCCTCCTCCAGAACTCGGGTAATACTGACCATCGATGCCCTGATCGTACAGAAGTCCCTTGAACACATGCCCTCCGATGTTGATAGCCGTTTGATACGCGAATTGCTCATCTACATCGTCCATTGCACTTACTTTTACGCAGCGGAACACCGCCGGTGAGCTCACTTCTGGTGGAAATGGATTTAACTCCAACCCTAGAATTTGTTCTCCCCCACAACAAAGAGAAAAATAAGTAATATCTCGTTGTTATTAATTATAAAGATTACATAAAACGGGAATATATGTAAATTGTGGTGAAGAAATTTCATGGGACTTTTGCTTCGTCAGGTTTACTAACAAACAGTGAAAGCAAAGAACAAGGATGTACAGAAAGAAAAGCATGGAGAGTGGGTGGCTGTGTGGATCCGATGGAGTTCACTATATTCCCACACGCAAACGATCTGTATCGGATTCGATGGCGGAAAAAATTCCAAATGAAATTTTAAATATAATTTTGTCCCTTAATTCCTCGTTGGATTCACACTTTCAGCAAGATCTACATCTTACTATATATTGTGGTTAAATAAGCAACAAATTTATTTATTTTTTCAAATTTCTTAATAATGTCAAGTGATGAATTCCGAAATTTCAGTAGATTTCCTCCCAAAAAAAATGTTTATAATTTATAATTAAAGCAAAATTTTGGTGCAATTCTTATATATATTTGTTTGTATTGAAAGCCAAAAGTTTTACCTGACGTGTTGGAAGGAATACGAACGCAGGCAAGAGAGTTATCTCTCAGCCTTTTGGGGTTTTCACCTCGAAACTGTATCTGCTGTTCTTGCTGTTGTTGCTGGTTTTGGTTTTGCTGTAAGGCAGAGAATTGTTCCTGCCGCTCCCGTCGTTTCGCGGCGGGAACCCACGTGCTCTTCACGTGTGTTTGGCACTGAAACCCTCGGCTCTTGCAACAGGTCCGGCACCTAAGGTGCGGACAGTCTTTCTTTGCTTGGTTCCCACAGTCCTGGCAGTTCATGCTGCCGCTGCTGCTTCCCAACCCTCCTAATCCTCCTCTCATCATCGTCAGCCTCAACCCCGCCGACAGATCATCCGCCGAAACACCGTCGTTGTTGTTGTCCAGGTGTCTATGGTTGTAGCTAGGATCCACTCCAAACGAGTAGTAGTTCAAATTTTGGTGTGGGTGGTATTGTGACGGCCATATATCAAACCCCTTGTTGTAGATCTCAGCCTGCGCCTCGCCTGATGATCTGTACAAAAACAAGTTCCCTCCTCCTCCTACAGCCGCCGCTTCCGCTGCTGCTCCTCCCACTCTTCCACTCTGATCCTCTCCCCCTTGTTTGTCACCGCTGGTCGGGCCTTGATCTCTCCCTCCTAAGCAAAACAAGCCTGCCATTTTTTTGATGACCTCAATTTTGGGTACAAATCCATATTAATTAACCACAACTTGAGTTTCCTTTTTTGACCCTGTGATCTTATCTGTGCGCTAGTACTGTGCGACCGTGTGTTTTAAATCTCCGCGATCTCCTTGTGGGGTTTTTGCAGCTTTTTGAGGGGCAAATGTTGGGAATATTTTAGCATTAGGGTAAGAATACTAAGCACTAAGAAGAATATTAAGGAAATATTTTTTGGGTTTTGTTGGAGTTGGGTAAGGTGAGTAACTGGAAGGGTTTAGAAATGAATCTAGTGGTGTTGTCGTGGAGTTCGAAGCAATAACAATATTGGCACGGAATTAGAGCCCTGCAAACGCCGCCATGGAAACTGCACCAACTCTGCCCCTACTGCTGCTCTTTCCCTTCCTTCCTCATTTAAGACAGCTGCCCCAACTTCCCCCTCTCTTTCTCTCTCCTCCCTCCCTTTCCCCCTCTGAACCTGTCCACTGTATGCAAGTTTTAGTGAGAGAGAGAGAGAGACTCTGAGCGACTGGGTGATCAACTAAACCATCTGTAAGTCCTTCCAGTTTCAATCAACCTTCACACGGCCCGATCCCGACGTCGTATCCTCACTCGACGGTCCTCGTTCATCCACGTGTCGCCTCATCAGCTTTGCCTTATTCGTCATTGCACCGTAAAAACCGCTTACTACTTTTTCTGACCAGTCTCTGTAATTAAGATATTTTTTTTACCCCATTTTGATTTCTCAATCTACCCCCCATCATGAGCAATTTGTTGGTTTATCTACAACATTTTTTATCTTTACGTTATTTTTTCACCCAAATTATATTTTGAATTTTGTTAACATGAATCTAAAACCAAAGGAGAATAGGTAAATGGTCATGTAATGTCTGAATATATAATCTTAGTGTAATTTTTCTTGTAACGTTGCATGAATAGGCCGAGAATCTAAAACGATAATCAACTTATTTCATCTAAGTTGTTTTCTTAAAATGAAACACATCAATACTATCATTTAAAATTTACCGTAACATGTAAAATAATACAAAACGTTATTTGTGTTCCTGACTCCTAAAATTTTCTAATATCACATCCGTATACAGCCTCACACTTTATGACAGACCTATATCTAGAAGCCATGTGTACTTTAAGCGCCCGTGACATTATCCAACGAGTTTCTAAGGAACCCTAGAAAACATCATCTCTTTTTTTGGGTAACGTAATTTAGATCGAGATTTACGAAATTCTAGGGGGCCGTATTTGTTTTGACGTCGCTGGATGCCTCGTGTCCCACTAAAATTCTTCGGGTAATCATTTTGTGATTGACTAATTGATTCAAAAAATTTGGTGTTTTGTGATTTAATTTGGGCGGTTGTAAAAAAAAAAGGTCAACATCTTTGATGGCAATATTTAACAGAATTAGGCTTGAAGGGCTGTTCCTATGTACTGTAGGACACATGCACCCCAGCTCCATGTTGGTTATATGCCAGCAGGCACCAAATTCAATTTTTTCAAATCCAAATACATTTATCGATAACATTGATAAAAAGTTAAAAACAACTCGATTTTGATTTTCCAAATAATATTGTACTTTACCCTAAATTACAAAATTGGAGATTTGAATTTCCTTTTTTTAGTGGAAACGAGATTCAGACTAGTTGTAGAGAGAGATAATAGGCTCGTTTATAAATAATTTTAAAATAGTTGAAAGTGTTTCTGGTAAAAATGTTTTTAGAATAAGTCATTTATAAAAATATAAGTGAATCTTGAAAAAAACACATATTTAGTGTTTATTGCAAGCAATGATGGAGCCACCTTGGACCCATGGGGGCAGATGTCCTCACTTAGTTTTTTTTTTTTTTTTTTGGAAAAAAATGTACATATTGGATATAGCAAACTCATGTGATAGACATGACATCAACATTAACTCTTCCAGTTGCTAATGCCACCGTTGAAGAGCATATTCAGACGTGAAATTTTTGAAGAATCAATTGATAAATCAGATGAGAGATTCATGGATAAATGATAACGTGGTTATTTTTATAGGGAGATAGTTAATGGAAATGGAATGGTTAGTGAAGTTGTCATGCAACGCTTTTAAAACATGAAAACGTGTTGAAGGATATTGTAATATGTTATGTGAGAAACCTTACGGATTTAATATATACAAGTGTTTTGTTTATTAAATTTTTGATCTTTTTAATTTGTGACTTTGTTGTTTGAAGATGCCCTCATCAATACAAATCTTTGGCTTCATCTATGTTTCCAATAAGTACTTTAAGTGCTTTAGAAACTCAAAAATATTCTTTAAAAAGCTTTTAATCATTTTAAAAGCAATTTCAAACAAACTCAATAGTTATTACTATAGTCAATGTGATTGTGTTCAAGTCCAACGTTTGAATTGAATCTCCGTGACATTTTAGCTGGTACAATATTGTATATAGTAGTAAAACGTTTTTAACGTGGGATTAGCGTACCAAATAGTCCCAACGAATTGCAATTGGGTTTAGTCAATATATATGAGACTAAATCGTAGTCTAAATGTTTCAAAATATTTTAATTATTTTAATATGTTACTGTCACTTGTTTTCAATCACACTGTTTTGTTGCATGACCTTTATGGGTAGTAGCGCAAAGAGTATGTATTTGAATAGTGCTTTTTTGCACAAAAATATATGTAGAAATGAGACACAAAGGTGATGCCAAAACATCAACGAGACACAAAGGTTATATAAAGATTTAAATTTTTAAATGAATATCTACGAGTGACAAGAAAAATCTATATGTTACTAAATTGAAGGTATCTTTTCCCCTTTTTAATTTAAAATGTCCTAAAGTTTTATGAAACATTAAAATGTCATAGCTAGAGCACTAACGTGGTATGTTTCATGGTAGATACTAGAGACATTGTACCCTATCCCATGTATGATTATGTTGACAGGTTAAGATATTGAGGAATTCAGCCACATACTTTTTATGTTCTTCTTTGCTACATAATCTTTCATGATATCAAAGTAGATTATTTTAGGTGTGAAGCCAAACGGCTAAACGTGCTTTACGTCATTAGATTTATGTTGTTCTTGTGTTAGGTTTGAAAATTCTCCACGAGCATGTTGAAGAATGAATCCTACATTGATGAGATGAGAGATTTTGCATGAGTTTATAAATAAGTTGAGTTATTCCTCATATTGCCAATTGGATGAAGAAAAAAAAAACTATAACTCATATATAATTCACGAAATTAGTCGGTGATCATTAGCATGAGTTCAGAGGAAATACAATTTTCTTATCGTGCAAAATGTAGTCAGTAAAAAGACCTATCGTGGCTAATAGGGTGGTAAAATGCATGTCAGTGCATTAGCTATATCGACAAATCATTTAGCCATTGTTTTTTTATTACGAACAATATTACTAAGTTGGAACAAGGAAATGAGAGAATTTGACATCGAAGGATGTAGTGGTCCTGAATTTCTATTTAACATTCTTGCGGAGGATGTAAACATTTCAATTAGATTATAATAAAGTCTATTTTTCTGAAAAAAAATAATAATTAATATAATATACTATTTAAGTTTTCTTGTGGTAAGAGTTTTCTACAATAAATAATGGGTTACCAATTCCATGAGGTGGAAAATATAGGTTGGAAGAAACATCAGGAAGGTTAAAATGACTTTATAAATCTTCTCGATCCTCGTAATGGTGGACTTCTATAACGAAACCATCAGCTGATTCATAATTATAAAAATAAAAAAAAATGAAAAACTGGGTTTATAAATATAAATTGCCTTTTCACCAAAGACGTTCACGTGAAGCCTCCCAAATTAGTGCCCACTAATTATTGGATTTCCGATTATTGATCGAAATAAGTACAGACTCCGGCCGCCTTAGCCGTACGCTGACCTTGACTCTGGCGAGTGAGGCCCGTCTAAGCAAAAAAAAGCTCCAAATGTCCATCAATGTTGATTAGCTGTACTTTGAATATATTCAGATAAATTAAGCTGCACTTTAGTCAAAAAAATACCCTCAAAATTAGGGTAAAGGGTAGACTAGGGACCCGAGGCAATGGGGGTCTTGTCTCTCCCCCAATCAAACTTTTGAGAAAGAGACAGGGTTTGTTTAGGAATTGCAGATGGGAATGTCAAAAATGTTTTTCGAAAATCGAAAGTGCTTTTAGCAACATTCGGTGTAAATTGATAAAAGTGTTTGTGATTGTAGAATAATGTGTTCATGGGCTATCCAATATGTAGCGCTTTGATATCTCTTGAAATTTTTGTTGAAGCTTGTTTGCTAAATTCGCTTGTGAATATTCGTATGTTCTAAAAAAAATTCAAGCATGTTTCAGTTAAGTTGAATTACGTCATTATATAAGTTAATATTATACACCCAACTTTTTTTTTTTTATCAAGTTTCATTCACCAAGTAATGTGTTAGGCTCTCGTTTGTTCAAACTTCAATCCCATCTAGACTTCTTTTATTATAAAGTTATGATGATGTAAAATGGGGCAATAATCTATTGGTCGATTATCAAAAATAAATAATAGAAAGGTTGAGAATAAATCGCGGGAAAAGAAACTAATTGGAGATGATGAATTTTTGTGTGCAAGTCCAATTGATGAGTTTTTGTGTGGAAGTCCCAATTATTGTGTCTCAGAGATTCTTCTTTGTTTCACTCTCGAGCCCAGTGCTTTCTCCTTCAAGTTGACTAGCTTCCCCCTTAACCTCAAATATTCATGCTTAAACTATACCCACGTGGAAACTTGATTACCCTTCTTATTTTATTATCAAGATTTTGTTAAATTATATATATATGTGTGTATGTATATATAGGTCATTTATGCAAAGGGATTCTCATTTTTTTTCCCAAAAATAAGGATTAAATATTCATGCTTAAACTATACCCACGTGGAAACTTGATTACCCTTCTTATTTTATTATCAAGATTTTGTTAAATTATATATATATATGTATATATATATATATGTGTGTGTATGTATATATAGGTCATTTATGCAAAGGGATTCTCATTTTTTTTCCCAAAAATAAGGATTAGGTGTGGGCTCACTCCACACCAAACTTCAACGATCCGAACTGTCTATTTTGTAAGTCTCGATTCATAGATCATCATTACAAAAATTCAATTCAATCCGAAACCATTTACCTATTTAATTATCATGATAAAATTTTATTGTTTCTTATATAACAAAGTAGTCGTTAATTTTTTTGAACCCAATTAGATGTCTTAAATATTTCCTATTTGGCTAATATTTTGCAAGGATGATCTATAAGGTGCAACTTGAAAAATAGATGGTTCAGATTGTCAAAATTCGATGTGGTGTGGACCCCACAACTAGTCCTCATTTTTATAAATAAAAAAAAATGAGAATCCCTTCCCTTAAAGATTTCCTATACATACATATATATATATATATTAGTATTTCAAAAATAAATAATTATCGACGCTCCAAAAGAATTATTCAACACTATTCACATACTTATTTTAACCTCATGCACACCCTTGTTAATTTTGTCGTTGATTTTTTTTTTTTTTCAATTCATATAATCTGTTGGCTGAAAACAAAGAGGGGTATGTGAAAAGTAAATATGAGTGTGTGAATATAGCACTACCGTTCTAATAATAATTATTCGCCAAATTGCACTATGCAATTGAAATTATTCTCATTTTTTACACCAAACGTATGTATTGATTGTATACAATTTCGACTAGTTCATCTTATTATTGGAGAATGTAACAATTCCTCCTTAATTATACATATCGTTTCATTTTTCCTAGTAACTTTTCATTTTGGTTATGAATCTTCCTTAACTTTTAATTTATGTCGATGTTTTCATGTTAATTATGTCAAATTCGAGCGTATTTTGGTCCACGCTGTACAATATAAGCCTTTAAATATGCAATATAACAATAAGTTTCAGCTCATCTTAATTTTTCTTCATAACTCAATAATCAGAATTCCAAATATTTACTAGTTTAGTTTACCTTGTGAATGTAACAATTTGTTGACTTATATGCCTTAGGTCTTTGGCAGTGGTTCAGGTGAGTGTGATACTTGTATATAAGAATTAAGCTGTCTGAGTTTGATTCTTATAATATTATTCTTACACTAGTGTGAGTTCAATAACGGTAAGAGTAACGATTGGAAGAAGATGGACCATTAATCTGAGTAATCTCTAACAACTCATAAAATCTAGTTCGTCCATTTAAATTGAAAAAGTGAGCCGCTGGTTTTTTTTTTTTTGTTTTTTGTTTATTTAAATGAGCTAATTGCTCATTAAAAATATAACACAAAAAAGTTGTGTGTGTGGTGGAAGAGAGAACACCATCATGGCTCTCCTGTTTTTGAACCTTAGTTACAACAAAGAAGAAAGACTTTTCTCTTCATTTCTGACGTGACCAACTCCTACCTTTTTTTTTTAACTGTTGTATGTGCCACCCAAGCATTTTATTCAGCAAAGGGATGATGTATTACTCAGCCAATATTTTTATACCATATGTTTGACACCGTTATTATTATTGTTATTTTTAATTCCTATAAATTCATACTATCTTAGGAAAGTATTTCATAATGTATTATGAACTTGTAGTCGCTTGCACTTTCATCTCATACCATCAAATTCATTAAATTACTAAATAAAAAATTCTATTTTTTTTGTAACCTATGTTGAATAATAAACCTAATCAAAATAATAAACTTCAAATCCTCAATACAAGTATAATTTTTGTTGTGAGTGTAAATAGGCATTACTTGTATGATATATAGTAAGCTTAGGGCTAGTTTGGTATGCTATGCTTTAAAAAAAAAAAACTGATTATGTTGTGATATGAGAATAAACAACTGTAAAATAAAGTTGCTGAGTGTTTGGTAATTTTTTTTAAAGTGCTTTTAATATAAAAAAACAGTGTTTGAGTGTTTGGTAAACTTTAAATTGCTTTGAATATGTTAAATGACTAAAAAGGATATGGTATTTAATGTGATACAATAATTGTCAAAGACAATAATGTAGGGCAAATATTGCAATATCGCAAAACACCAGGGAGGGGGGTGGTATATTTGACATTTGAAAATTTCATTAAATAAGCACTAATTACTATATGCTTTGAAAAAAAAAAACAATTTAGAAGCATGTCATACTCTGCTTCTATTTTTCTACTGTCATTGACAAAAAAATTTTTTAAAACACTTTTTTTGTTCTACCAAACACATTTAATGTTCAAGATTTTTTAATAAGCTGCTTTTATTAAAAACACCACCATCTCAAACCTGCCCTTAGTTAAATCTGCCTATTCAACCTAGTATGTTGCCTAGATCCCGTTTAGCAGCATAGGCGCCTCAGTTTACCGTCGGATTGATGTCTAACGTCCCTTAGTTAAGACTATCCAAAATTAAAATTCTAGATCACCCACTAATTCAACTCATTTATGTTATAACTCATTTAGAGGGCTCATAAATAGATTGAATGTCCAGAGGACAAAGATAAATAACGTTCGAAGTTTAGGGGAAGATGCTGAAGTTTTGCTTAAGTACCTGCCTAATACGTAATTACGTATGTAAAGGTGAGCCCAGTGCCAATAGATTTTTTGTAGGGTGGATCCAGCTTGAAGTTAGGGGTAGGGTCATAGTGGCACTGCATGTGGCCACTGCCCGACATGATTGGAATTTAGATTTTAGAGTGAATAATTAGAGGGTAGGTTCCCCTTTAAAAAGTAGATTTTTTGTATATTAGCCGATAATTAAATGCCTTCATGTCTCACGAAAGGTTACAAATCCTTGAATCCTCCTTTGCCAAAGGAAAAGGATCCTCGCCTGGGAATCTCGGGATCTCGTAATCATAATCGTTCATCATATATTGTACGGTCAGTTTTTGTTAGGTACTATTTATATTTGATTTTAAATTTTAAATTTTAAATGATTTATGACCGCACGATGTACTATAAACGGTCACGATCACGGGATATCCTGGATGCACAGGAAAAGGATCGGGTTCCTTTGCCAAAGGCCTAGAGGAAACAGACACACATGAAATAATGTAGAAGACATATAGGTATTAAAAAAAAAGGAAAGGAACCATGGATGCAAAGGTGCCCCCCTCGGCTTTTGATAAAAATGAGAATAAGTATTCTTAAATTTTAAAGATAGTGGGAAGGAGAAATTCGAAACTCGACATCTTGGATGTACGGAAAAATGCTCATAAGTAATGCCGTTTGCATATCGAATCAATTTTAAGAAGTGAAATGCTAATGAAACTTTCTTAGTGAGACTCGCAATGATCTCTCTATAACCTTACAGTTTAACGTTAATTATCATTATAAAATGGGAGACTTTGGATGCGGTCCCTAGTTATGAACAATCTTTGACTGAAACTTTGTTGGTTTTCAATTTTTGATCCAAGTCCCTAAAATTAATTGATAATTTATTTCTATGTACGTTACTATATTTTTTAAATTAAAAAATAAAATTTATAGTTGTTTATAGTAATGAGATTTTAAATAAAAAACATAATTTGTGGGATTAAAAATATTAAAATATAAATATACTATTGTGTGTGTGTGTGTGTGTAAACATGGGTACATTCATAAAAAAATAACCAAAAAATGATTGTATCAAAACATGGGTACATTCTTCAAAATGGGTACATTTAGCAAAAATAAAAATGGGTACAAATAAATAAAAAAATATGGGTAGAATACAAATAAAACTGTAAAAAATATGGGCACAAAAAGAAATTAATATATGGGTACAAATTAAAATTGAAAGGAAAATTGGTACAAATTAAAAAAGGGTTGCAAATTAAAAATGGGTACAAACTAAAAATAAAAAATAATATATGATAAAAAAATTTAGCTATAAATATAAATATACTAATTGTAACATTTTTAATATTAAATGAATATATTTAGAAATAAAAAATATTTTATTATTGAAATAATTAATGATATTATTAATACAAAGGACCTTGATCAAAAATTGAAAAGTAATAAGGTTTTAATCAATAGAGTAGTAAAAATAAGGATGAAAACCTAATTACTCCTTATAAAATATTATGCTAAAAATATAAGTGACATAAAATTCGTAGATAATTCTACTTTTAAGAAAGTTTCTTTCGCATTTCTCTTTAAGAAAATGAGTTAAGATTAATTTTCATCAACATAAGTTGGGCCTACGGAGTATGGCTTATGAAGGAACTGGGCATGCCCAACTGACTACGTAAGCAAGCCCCAAAAAGGATGAATATGCGTTTACAGTTTACACTAAATACCTCGAGAAGTAATATATGGGTTGGAATACTTAGTTAGGGCAACAAAACCACCTTCTCGCAACTAAACTCAAAATTTCTTTCTAAGCAGGTTGTAAGTGGCTTGTAATTCAGCTTGTTAGGAGCATGCGCTCATGTACTTGAGGTCTTGTTTTTCAATCACTTTCTTTGTAGATTAGACTAATTTAGTATAGATTGTCATATCGAATGTAAAAAAAAAAAAATCCAAGCCTAATTTTGTGTGAACTAGTCTAATTTCAATCCAAGGGTACGTAAACCAATTTCGGGCCCAAATATGTTGAAAGCCTACAAAAAAAAATGTAATCGTAAAAACCGAACTGAATAATTTGGTTTCTCCTTCACAAATTGTAAAAACTGAACCAAATAGTAATTTCGGTTTGATTTTCAATTTTTGGCTAAAAGTAGAACCTAAATGAATTGAACCCAAACATACAAGTCACATGAAACACTCAAAAACCTAAAAAGTGAACCTAAATATGATATTATGATTGTAACGTATAACGTTAAAACAGTACATTTTCTCTTGCTCACGACTCTAGAGCCAAAATCTAGGATTTTGCTCTTTCCGTTCTCGTTTACACAATCACACTAATTATAAAATACTATCTACAACACAAAGCATAATAATTAAGTAAACAATTCCATAAGATCAATATAAATACATAAACATTATACAACTTCAACCATCACTAAACCATGACATAAACATAAACTTATTAGCCCCATCTATCTGTATTATCTAGGAGATCGGAGCACACAAGTATATTTACAAATCCCCCAAATTCCTAAACAGGGTACAATAATAATACGGTGCCGTCGCAAAACTACTTGTTGGATGTACGCAGAGCTGCAACCGTTGAGACCAAGGAATCCACCCCACAAGAATTATAACCCCTGCAGATCTTGTAATATCCCTGCTCTCCCCAGCTCTGTCCCCATGAATTCTTCAAGATCCAGTACGGTTTCTCCTTAAATCGAATCGGAGCAAAACCCGAAGAACCATAACCCACCAGAAGCACTCCGTGATCAATTCGCTTTCCGCAGATGTAAGGGCACGAAACTCCGCCTACGTATGTTTGCATGAACACCGCATTGATCCCAACTGCATCATGCAAACCAAGTTAACGATTCAGTAAACGGAAAACAAAAATGTGAGAATCAATTTGAAGGAATGCCACGCTGAAGTACCTGCAAGAGGGCCATGGTTAACCAAATTTGCAGCGATTTGATCTTCGTCGGTAGAAATAACGCTGAAGTTATTCACGGAAGAAACAACTTTGCTCTTGTCGAATTTGCAGGTGTCATCAGTCCCGGTGTAAGGATAATCTTCCTCTCGTTCTAGCCCGCCAGCCTTGAGTGCGTACTCAAAGGCATTGTTCATCAGCCCGCCATTGCAACCCGAGTCACACGAGCCATATTCTTCCGGATCACACTGCAAAATGTTCGGGCTTGATATAAGATAATGCAATGAGGATAGTCAAATCTATGCAGGATTAAAAAAACCCAACTTCCCAAATTAACACACATCGCCACCACCCTCGACCACGAGATAAACTTACCTACACTTGTTAAACTGCCACAGTGACATTACATGTGTAGGAAAGTTCGTCTTCGCTATCACAAGTACAAGTATCCGCAAAAGAAACTTAACTACACTTGGAATACCGCCACAATAGCATCCCAAGCGTATAAAAATTCTTCTTGTCTACGAATAGTACAAGTCTAAGTTCAGTGTTTTTTAACCATGAATGTCAAACAGTAAACAGTCTCAAAGAACATATATTTCTCTTTGTTTACAATTTCCTCATTAAAAATCAAATTTTCAAATGCATTTAATTGTTTTCAGATAGTAAATGATAATGTAACACGATAGAAATTAGTGAAGCAATTAGCTTAATCTTTCCAGTTTTGTTCTTCTCAATGAGCAAAAAGTTCAAAACTTTAAGCACAGCAAAGATCAAATAATCATTCATTATATAAAGAAAACAATATATATTCATACACACATACATATATACAATATCTATACACACATATACACATATACATATATAAATATATACATATACAAGGAAAGTAAAGTATGTAGATTAGAACCTCATGGTCACAGTCAACAAGCTGCTGCTCACTCAGACTGACGAGCTCCCCTGTTTCCAAATAATGAGCTCCTTCCAAAGCTCCCGTCGCACTAAACGCCCAGCACGACCCACAAGAACCCTAATTTTCACCATCGCATCCCAAAACGAAAAATAATAATCCACAGAAATTCCATTTATTTTTTTCAGATAAATAAATAAAATTTTAGAAATATTTGTACCTGGTCCTTCACCGGCGTGACAGCACCTTTGTCGCGCCAATCAAAGTCCGTTGGAAGATCATTGGTGGGAAGAATCGGAGCATTGTTCGCGTCGGCCGGAAGCCGGAGACGACGCTTTAGTCCGAGAAAGTTCCTGCGAAACTCCTTGGGAGTGAGATCAGAGAACTTGGTTACACCGTGGACGGCAGAGGGGTCGAGCGCCTGGTGCCGCTTGGCTCGGCGGAGGTTGGCCTTGAAGACGCCGAACCTGTAGTCGTGCTCAACCTGAGTCGCATAGGTCTTCCCGAACGTGGCTTTGAAGCTGGAGAAGTGCTTGGCGTGGAGGAGATGATCTTCGTCAGTTTCCGAAACGACTTGTCGGATGATAGGGTCGGCGTCGTTGGAACCTGAGGCGGAGGCGAGGGCGGAGGATAGGAGGGAGAGGAGGAGGATGAGGGAGGCGAGACGATCCATTGTTAGTGGTGAGTGTGACTGTGTGAGGAAGTGAAAGGAAGTGAGTTCTATTGGAGCGGGGAGATAAGCAGATACTTAGGGTTGGTGTTTTGTGCGGGTGGGCTTCCGAGAAGATGGGGAATTTGTAGAGACGTGGGTTGTTTTGGTTCGTACGGTTTGTCAGCAAGTTGAGCTAGAAATCGATTTGTCAGCAAGTTGAGCTAGAAATCAAATGGAAGAAAGAGATGGGTTGTTTCCTTTGTTCTACGTACGACTCTATTATTCATGGTGTGATGGCTACTACTACATTATTGATACTTGTCTTCTATCAATTATTATCTCCACTAAAATTGAGAACTTAGTAGCACGAGTTTATCGTCATGTGACATTTTATATTAATAAAATAATAATTTTATATGAAACAAGTTCATCGTTACATTTACGTGGTGTTCATTTTCCAATAATGCATTGCTGTGTGAAAGTTTTTTTTACATAACAATGTATTATACTATTATTGGATCGAAACGTCACGTTGTAGTAAACTCATTTTATATAAGTTGTTTTTCATTTTTAAGACATATAAACAAATTTTTTTACATATTTTTATCTCATTGACACATGACGTTACCATAATGGTAAACCTATGCCATATAAATTATTATCTTAAAGTGACACCCCTCTTTAGTCGATCATGTGACACCGTATGTGTGGATAAGCATTCATATATAAGGCATGGGTCACGAGCACTATCTCGACACCCCTCGAGTTGATCTTGAGTTCAATTCAAGTGATCTCTCTTATCTCGAGTATTATATTTGTTTGTTGTTATAGTAGTCGAGGGGTAAGAGCAACTCCACCCATGGAGCCTTCCCCCCGGCAATCCACTATTGAATCCACCTTTTTGAACAGTAATTGCCTTAAATGAATAGTAACTGCCATTAATGAATAGTAATTACCATTTGCATCTCCACCCTTGGAGCCCTCCCCCCAGGCAATAGGCAATAAAATATTAGTTTTTTTGTTTGTTTAAATAATACAAAATAAAATTATTTGTAATTTCGGATAAGATTATTTAAATCGTTCTCGTTGCGCCACGTGTCATTTTATAAAAACAAACAATTATTTAGCGATGGATTTCGATAAGATTTTTATCCAATGTCATCGTGCCACGTGTCGTTATTTTTTTGAAAATCTTTGACGATAGATTTTGATCAGATTTTAACTCGTTCAAAATTGCGCCACGTGTCATTATCCGAAAAGATAATTATTGGAGATCGATTTCGATAAGATTTTTATCCAATGTCATCGTGCCACGTGTCATTATCTTTTGAGAATCTTTGACGATAGATTTTGATCAGATTTTAACTCGTTCAAAATTGCGCCACGTGTCATTATCCGAAAATATAATTATTGGAGATCGATTTCGATAAGATTTTTATCCAATACGATCGTGCCACATGTCATTATCTTTTCAGAAACAAATTGTGGATAGATTTCGATTAGATTTTTAACGAATGACGGCATGCCACGTGGCCTCATCTACAATCCGATCCTTTTCTGAATCGTCCATATAATCCACCATCCATCCTCACAAATCTCACACCAATTTTCTCAACATCTCTATCTCATTATTCATAATTTCTGCTTCTTCTTCACCATCCATCCTTACAATGTCTTCTTCTTAATCAAGGATGATGTGGGAAATCGATCAGCAAGAGGAGGAATTGTTTAACCAATCTGAAGGAATGTTCAACCTTCAGATAGCCGAAATGAGATGGAAGAGGATGAAGAGCGTAGAAGGAGAGATGATGAAACAAGAATGGCCAGAGCCTCACATTCCCGTCGAGTCATCCAGACTGTTGCTCAGATATGCAGGCCCAAATAAATAATAATAATGAAATTATTAGGTAACAAATAAATAATACAAACAAATAATAATAATGAAATTATTAGGTCACAAATAAATAATACAAACAAATAAAATTATTAGGTCACAAATAAATAATACAAACAAATAATAATAATGAAATTAGGTCACAAATAAATATTGCAAACAAATAATAATAATGAAATTATTAGGTAACAAATAAATAATACAAACAAATAATAATAATGAAATTATTAGGTGACAACTAAATAATACTGTGAACACGGAAAATTCCCGAAACGAAAGAGACAAGAACAACGTGCACAAACAAAATATTTGTATTTGATGATTTTGGGTTACAATCTCTCTCTATTTTGATCCTCTGATTCGATCTCCGTAAGGTGTGTATTTGTGGATGTTTCGTTGATCCAAGGGCCGTCGGGGCTTGATCTTGGATGAACTGTTTGGAAGTTTCTTCAAAGGGCCGTGGGCTTGATCTTTGAAGGTGGATTTGAGCGGATCTTCAAGGAGCCATTGGGGCTTGATCTTGAGGATGAATGTTTCTTCAAGGGCCGTTTGAGGCTTGATCTTGAATAACGGTGATGAGCGGATCTTCAAGGAGCCATTGGGGCTTGATCTTGAGGATGAATGTTTCTTCAAGGGCCGTTTGAGGCTTGATCTTGAATAACGGTGATGAGCGGATCTTCAAGGGCTTTTGGGCTTGATCTTGAAGAAACAGTGATGAACAAATCTTCAAGGGCTTTTGGGCTTAATCTTGAAGAACGGTGATGAACGAATCTTCAAGGGCTTTTGGGCTTGATCTTGAAGAACGGTTGGATGTGTGGATTTGTCGACGTTGTTGATCCAAAGGGCCGTTGGGGCTTGATCTTGGATGAACGGATGATGAACGATGGTGCTTTCTTCAAGGGCCGTCGAGGCTTGATCTTGAATTGGTGGATGGTTGATCCAAGGGCCGTCGGGGCTTGATCTTGGAAGAACGATGAACGAAGAACGAAGAACACTTTCTTCAAGGGCCGTCGGGGCTTGATCTTGAATTGGTGGATGATTGTTGATCCAAAGGGCCGTTGGGGCTTGATCTTGGAAGAACGATGAACGAAGAACGAAGAAGGCTTTCTTGATTCTTCGGGAACCTAGATGCTTGAGAGCTTCGGGGTTTCAGAGCTTCAGAGCTTCAAGGTGTAATATGAATTCGGTCCCTTTAAATGAATGAAATAGGCTTGTATTTATAGAAATTTCCAAGGCCTAATTTTGAATATAATATTCCAGATGAAATAAGTCGTTTCTGCCAGGTGTTGACACGTGTCCTATTTGATGACTTTTCCAACTCATTTCAATTTTCGTTGAGTCACACGCTACGTGTAAAATTTATGTAATACATGAGCGTTGACACTTTGATTTACCGGTCAACATTTATTTACGAAATTTCGATGTCTACAAATGCCCCCACTTCAAGGCACGTCGTATACATGTGCTTGTCACGTGTAGGAGATGCGTTTTGAAGTCCCTTACTGTAGATGTCGATCCAAGGGCCGTCGAGGCTTGATCTTGAATTGGGTTGGAGATTTCTTCAAGGGCCGTTGAGGCTTGATCTTGAATTTTGTTTGTTTGAAATTTCTTCAAGGGCCGTTGAGGCTTGATCTTGAAGGTTGAAATTGGGCCACAAGGAGCTTCATGTGGTAGATGATCTTTGGCTTTGGTAGTGGGTGAATCGGCACGTATTTTGTTGCGCTTGTTGACTTTCCACAGCTTTGATCTTGAATTGGGTTGGAGGATTTTCTGGATTCCTCCAATTGTTGATTTTCCACAGCTTATTCTTGAACTAGGTTTTGATTCAAGGGTGGTAGACACTTAATCTTGAATCGGACTTGTGATTTCCTCAAGGGCCGTCGAGGCTTGATCTTGAATTTGGTTGGAAACTTCTTCAAGGGCCGTTAGGGCTTGATCCTTGAAGGTTGACTTGAACACATGACAAGCAGGCACGAGGTGAAGGTGACGACTTGTTGCTCTGTTCAATCTTTCTAATTCACACCTGAGCATTTTGGTCAACGGTATGATCTTCAAGATTGATGGGCTTTTCTTCCAGTTGGTGACTTGATCTTTAAGGATTTGATTTAAGGGTGGTGAATCGGCACGTGCAGCCTACAACGCCTTTACTTTTGAAGAAGTAGCGGATGAATCAGCACGTGCTTGGTTGCACTTGTCTCCACATGCTTCAAGGTATCATCTTCATTTCCTTTATCTGTTCCTCAGGCAGATGTGGCTCTTCTCGAGTTCTTCATCTCAGACTCTTTCTGCCGAGTTGACTGAGCATGCTGCATTCTTCTCTGCTTGTTTCTTCAGGCAGATATGGCAGCTTCTGGAGTTCTTCAGCTCGGACTCCTTCTGCTGAGACTGTGCAGACTGCATTCTTCTCTGCTTGTTCCTTCTGCACCTTGTCTCCACATGCTGCAAGGTATCATTTTCACTTGCCTTATCTGTTCTCCAGGCAGATGTGGCAGCTTCTTTGGAAGTACAACGGCAGTGGGAGACGAGTACTCGAGAGCAGTGCTAGGTAGGCAATCAGGGAAGGGTTCCAAGCAGTCGGTTCCTTACCCGAGTTTGAGTGGAAGTTCCGGCATATTGTTTTCTTTATCCTTGTCTTTGTAGGTAGGAGCAAGGACAAAGGAAACGACAGGGAGAACGCATGATATGAGATACTCTTGCTTTCTACCCTGGTGATATGAGATACTTTTGCTTTGGAGTCATTGGCTTGCAGAGGTACCCCAAGGAATAAGGAACACTGGAATGACTCGAGAGGCTTTCGTTGGGAAAGGCATTCTCAGAGATGAAGAAAGGTTCTGTATGTCTGCCTTGCTATGGAGGGTGAAGATGGACAGTTATAGGAAGTTCTTTAACACCTGTAGATGTACTATTCTTTCACTCGTGTCGGCAACCGTTGGATGATTGAATAGTATACTTCACGTGCTTTCTCCTTCACCGAAAATCTTCGACAAATTGCCCGTGATTTTTGCCAAGCTGAGTGTGCATATGACAGGTGATGACGCGGCTGAAAAAGACTGGCGCCTCTTCGATATCTGGGATCGGCGCTTCGACAAATTACCCGTGATTTCCGCAAAGCTGAGTTTGCGCGTGACGGGTGCTGACGAGGCTGAAAAAGACTAGCTCCTCTTCGATATCTGGGATTGGCGCTTTAACAAATTGCCCGTGATTTCCGCAAATCTGAGTTTGCAT